TGAGTTTAAATAAGTATATCACCAACAATCTTATGTTCACAGGCATAGAGGATGGGCTGACACAGTGGTGGGCAGACTGCTGCTCGTGAGCCACATGCAGCTCTTTGTCCCCTTGAGTGTGGCTCTTCCACAAAATACCACGGCCTGGGCAAGTCTATTTTGAAGAAGTGGCGTTAGAAGTTTAAGTTTAAAAAATTTGGCTCTCAAAAGAAATTTCTCATTGTACTGTTGATATTTGGCTCTGTTGACTAATGAGTTTGCCAACCACTGGGCTAACATGTTTAGGGAAACATCTTTAGAGGCTGACATCTTTAGAGGCTGACATCTTTAGAGACAATGGCCAGTTGTTGCCACTTTCTTATTCCACAAAACCACAGCCACCACATAAAACCAAGCTCCTTTTCACTCAAGGCCTCAGCACATAGAGTTCTTGATCATCACAAGTTTCTGATTATTGCAATCAATTAGGGCTAGGAGGTGCGTACCACAAATCAAAAGAGAATAAGCTCCTCAGGAGCCATACATCGACCTGAAGAATTCAACCTCATGGGAAATGCCATTTTTTCTTGAGGCATCACTAAAAGCGTCACTAATAAACAATTTTAATATGTGCCTAACCACAACTTGGAAAGCAGATCCCTATGCAGTGCTTCTAATTTTAGGTCCTTTCATTCTTAGTAAATTTTTGAACTCTGTTTTGCATTTTCCTTTGAGACTTGCTCTGAGGAAACCTTTAATCTTATAAAACCAAAATCATAAAGTGATGACAAATTGTCATAATCTTCAGGAGACTGTATCTTGTTGCTGTTTTCAACTCTTCTAATAATCCAGGTTTTATAATTTAGTGTATTTGGCACTGAGATTTCACAATGATGTATTTAAAGTGACTACTTAAAACATTTCTTATCTGTGTTTATGCTTGCTTTTGTTAGTCTCCCAGTAACCAATGATATATGAATCTTAAAAGAGAGAGGAACTTTCCTGGGTAGAATTGTATTTTTAAAAGGAACAGCCTGGGCTTTTGCTTCTGTAGTTTTTTTCCCCCCTTACTTTACAAATGCCATTGAACCAGTTTGGCTCAGTGGTAGAGCATCGGTCTGTGGACTGAAAGGTCTCAGGTTCAATTCCGGTCAAGTGCATGTACAATGGTTGCGGGCACATCCCCAGTAGGGGGTGTGCAGGAGGCAGCTGGTCGATGTTTCTAGCTCTCTATCTCTCTCCCTTCCTCTCTGTAAAAAATCAATAAAAATATATTTAAAAAAACAAAAAAAAAACACAAATGCCATTTATTTGGACTTGCATAAAAGTCTTTTATTTTTAATGTCCATAAAATGATATTTTGTGTTCAAGCATTTTTATTTAATTTTGGCCCACTTATTCTCTACTTTCATTCTAATGTAGGAAGGAAAATGTAAAGTTTATCCAAATAGCTTTATACTTTTTTTTTTTTTTAGGAAAGGGGTCTTCTGGTTATAATTATAAAATATAAGTAATATTTCCAGACTACTGTGGAAATTTTGCCTGCTCATATAACAACAAAAATCCTTTTCATACTAGTAAGAGATTGGCAACCAGCTAAACTGTGGCCTCACTTATTTGCCTTTTTGTATATTATTTTCACTGTCAATTTGTATCATCCCATGTTCATTCATTCATTCCCTTTCTGCATGGCTCTTACATTTTTCAGGACCAATTTGTTTGGGATTTGGAATGGTTGGGGAGAGAGAGCATTTAGAAAAAATTAAGTTGCCAGTACTGACATAGTGATACAATCCTGTATTATCAAAAAGCTTTATGGTTCTCTGTATGTTTTATATTGTGCCATCTGTGGCTGGTCAGCCTAGTTAAGTAGGCCAGTGCTTGTCAAAGTGTGTTCCTCAGACCAGCATTGCCTGAGACCTTCCTCAATAGAAATGTAAATTAGCTGGGCCTACCCAGGACCTACTGAATCAGTCACTGGGTTGGGGCCCTACAATCTGACTTAGCAAGCCTTCCATGTAAAAGTGCTGCATGCTAATTTTTAAGAAACGCTGGATAACAAACCTGAATTGACTCAATCCTTGTACAGGCCAGTTACTGTACCTTTACCTTAATGGCACTGTCTGTACTCTTGTTGTGGGCTAAATTGTGCCTTTCCTAAATGCTTATGTTTAAGTCACAAACCCCAGTTTCTCAGAAAGTGACTGAATTTAGAGATAGGATTATTAAAGAGGTAACTGGGGTTAAATGAGGTCACTAGAGTTGTTTTAATCCAATATGACTTGTATCCTTGTTTAAAGAGGAAATTGGATACAGACAAAAGACCATGTGAAGATAAAGAGAAAAGACAGAAAAAAAAAATCAACCCTCCGACACCTTGATCTCAGACTTCTAACCTCCAGAATTGTGAGGAAATAAACTGCTATTATTTAAGCCACTTGAGTCTATAATACTTGGTTATAGCAGCCCTGGCAAACTAATACACCTTCTAATTAATTTACTTAACCATCTGGAAACTGTTGTTGGTCACAGAAGGCATATAGGAAAAAAGGGGGGGGAAAAGCCATTACATAACAGTACGTTCTTTACTATAATAGAAACACAATTCAAAGGCCAGGTCCTGATGATACCTATATGATAAACTTGTTATGAGTAACTGGAAAGGAGCAAATGGAAGGCCAAATACAAGCTGCAGGCCCAGGGAAGTCTGGGTGATGTAGGGAAGGAACTTGCCTCTCAGTCACACTTGGGAACAGGTCATTAGCCAGAGTAGGCATGGCCACTGAAAGCACAGAAACATTTGGGATACTTAAGCTCCTAAATAAAGGTGTCCCCTCTCTTGCCTCTCAGTTCTCCTGGGACTCTTGTTGCAGGGGAGGTGCTTTCTTGGCTCCCCTCCATTTGTCCATGTGGCCCCACAGCCATGTGGACCAGACACGCAATGGACTAATGGACCATAACTAGCCTGAGGCTGCACCAGACCCAGCTCTGCTATGGAATGGAAGCTCTGGATGCTGGCTTTGCCTCTAGTTCTCCTGAATCCCCTGCTGCACCTCTCCTAGGAGTGGATTAAGGGAAATGGGACTTTAGAACCGAGGGGTGTAATTCCATGCATATATAGCTCTCTGCCACCTCTCATCCTCCTGTGGGGGCCTCCAGAAATGCTTCTTCCAGCGGCAAAAAAGTGACTTTAAACAAGAAACAAAACAACGAATTCAGAAAAGATTAATTCTGCACCCAAGCAAAAAGCAGAAATCTTTGTGTGGTGAAAGACCCTTCAATACAGAAGAAAATGGTAGCCTAGCAGAAGAGTATTTGTAACATATATAAAAAATTAAGTGTGAATAGCTGCTTTAGACTAAACTGTACCTCCCCTATGCCCCCCATGCAAATGTTTAAGGTATAAAAAGGTTCATGTACTCCACAATGTGACGGGACTGGGAAACGGGACATTTGGGAGGTGATTAGGTTTAGATAAGGTCATGAGGACAGGGTCTTCATGATGGGATCAGTGCCTTATAAGAAGAAACAACTGTCTCTCACTCCCTGCAGCATAACAATACAGCAAGAAGAAGGCTAGGAAGAGGGACCTCACCAAGTGTCTAATCTTAGACCTCGCCTCCAGAAATGTAAGGAATAAGGTTCTGTTATTTAAGCCACCTAGTCTATGGTATTTTGCTATCGCAGCCCAAACTAAATGTAATATTGTGATGCATCAGTCATATATATTGGGTCATTCAGATGACCAAAATATACAGCATTTCTCATATCTATTTGGTCTTCCTCCAAAATTCCTAACTCACAGGTTCCAAATTCCTTGGACTCTCATAAGTGTTGAGAGTTATAAAGGTATTTTTTGCTAATGGAGCCAACCGTGTTATTAAAAGGGTTGGAACTTTCAGTCCCACTCCCACATCTCTAGGGTGGGGAGAGAGGTGGGGTGATGGAGTTCAATCATTGGTGATTAACAATTTAATCAACCATGCCTAGGTCATGAAACCTCCATAAAAACCCAAAAAGATGGGGTTCAGAGAACTTCGGGGTTCATAGACATGCAGGTGCATGATGAGGAGTGAGCCCAGAGAGAAAGGAAGAGAAGCGCCACACTTCTTCCTATACACCTTGCCTTTTGCCTCTTCTCCATCTGACGATTACTGAGTTATATCCTCTTACAATGAGCCAGCAATCTTGTAATTTGTTTCTCTGAGTTCTGCAAGTTTTCCCAGCAAATTAATTGAATATAAGGAGGGAGTTATGGGAACCTCAGATTTAAAGCCAGACAGCCAGAAGTACAAATAACGACCTGGACTTTCAATTGGCATTCTGAGTTGGGAGATCACTGGAACCCCCAATCTACAGCCAGTTAGTCAGAAGTACAAGTAAGAGTGTGGGTTTGCAGCTGGCATCTGACAAGCGGAGAGACCAGGGAGAAGAAACAGTCCTGGAGGACTGAACACTTAACCTATGGAACCTGATGCAGGTGTCCAAAAATTGTTTATTGGGGGAACCCCCTACACACACACACACACACACACACACACACACACACACATTAGAATTGGGTCCAGGAACCTGAAAGACTGAGATGATACCCTTAATATGTCCAGTCTTCCCGTAAGTCAGTAAAAAAAATTGAACATATTAAGAATAAATAAAGGTCAGGAACAGGAAATATGCAGAAGAAGGGCAAATGACTAACAAAAGTATGAAAAGAAGCTCAACTTCATTAGCGATGTGAAATACAAGTAACATAACAACAAATGACGCAAATATGATTTATTTTTTCCAATCAGATCAGTGACAATGAAAAGATTACTGAAATACAAAGTGGGTGATGTCAGAAATAGGGCGTTTTCTCTTAGCAGAGAATGGGAGCGCACATTGCACAATTTATCAGCACATATCAGCAATAAAAATGAGCATATTTTAACCCCTCCCCCCTGCCCAATTCCACAACACACATACACAAAAAAGAAGGTGTCAGGTTGTTCATCTTGAAATGGTATTCTTTTTTTGGGGGGGGGGGGGGAATACCATTATTTGAAAGTAGCGAGTAACTTGAAACAAAAGCAACTCTCCTTCAAAGAAAGTTGTTAATACTATTCAGCTGTTGAAAAGGATATTATTCTGTATGAATTAAGTGATGGGAACTAAAAACGTGCACAACACAACAGCACATCCAATACGATCTCATTGTTTTTAAACTAAAATTATATTGGTGTGTAGAAGTGTGTAGTATTGCCTCATTTAATATAGGAAAGTTCACATGATAACAAAAGAGTATTTTTTTTCAATTTTTATTGAATGTTTTGGCTGACATTAGGGGTAAATTTTGTTAATTTGAATTAAATATCAAACACGAAGACTGAATGTATACCCTTTTATAAGTAGAAAGGTAAAATATACTCCAAATCCAAAATACATTTCCTTTAGTTTTCAATAATTCTGCCTTCAGTTTCTTAATAAGATGTATGTCAAATGGTATTTTCGTTATTCTTTCATAAACTATCTAAATTAAATAATATACTTTAGCAAGTAGTTGTTGTTTTTTATAGCATCAAGACCTTCAGACTACTTTCGCATAATTGAATGTCATGTCTTTATCATATTTACTTTTAGTTGCTATTTTTGCAGGGCAGGAAGACAGCCCTGCAGAAACTCTTTGCAGTAACTCTCTGTGGAAACTTTAAACAGAACGCTCGAGACATAAATTTACAGCTCCAGATTAGTAAGATCTAATTTTAGCCGCGATTCTGATTTACTTCCTATACTGTGATGACTGGGTTCAAAATGAAGGGACTGTTCTCACGTGGGAGAACAAGAGGGGGAAAATAGCTTAATCTTGCTCTAATTCTCTTCTATTCCTCAGGTTTTCTGACAGTTTAATTCACTTCAATGGCATGGGGTATATCAAGGTACACATATTTCTATCACAAGGAAACTGAAAGTACAAAGACAAAACTATATTTCAGACATGTTTATTAGAAAAGCAACAATTTCAGGCAATGCTACAACTAGGCAGTGTATTGGCATTACATGGGAATGTTTCACTTCTCTCATTTTTTTAAAATATATATTTGATTGATTTTTTACAGAAAGGAAGGGAGAGAGATAGAGAGCTAGAAACGTCGATGAGAGAGAAACATCGACCAGCTGCCTCTTGCACACCCCCACCGAGGATGTGCCTGCAACCAATGTACATGCCCTTGATCAGAATCGAACCCGGGACCTTTCAGTCCGCAGACCAACGCTCTACCGCTGAGCCAAACTGGTTTTGGCACACTTCTCTCATTTTTAAGAACCAAGGTTTCCGCTCTTTATTTTACAGTGTTGTTTTTTTTTCTTATCATCTAAAATGTCTATTAACTGCAAACAGCATAGGAGGCATGTATGTGGCATTATTTCTGCCTTTTCTTTTATAGATTGCAAGATACCTAGAAGGAGTGAATCCTAAAGGTTTTCCTCCAATGATGTTCCTAAATAATAATTTTTTAAAAAATTTAAAAGACAAACACATGTGCTTCAGTCTGAATTACATTAGGAAGGCATAAATGAAAAAAAAATTTTTTTTACCTAATGTTGAAATCATTAGTGCTGTCCACCAATTATTTTCAGCTCTTCTCCTGGGCATGTCATATTGCATTTATCTGCCCCCGTGGAAGTGGCAGGGCCATATTACTAGCTTTGGCTAGAGCTCCAGGTAGAAGCTCTAGGAGCCAGGGCATGATGCACCATGCCGACTTGTCCCCTGCTGCATGACAAACAGCAACATAGACGGTGGCAGCTGCTTTGACTCCTGAGGTCTCTGAGGGATTACAAGGAGCAGAGCTTCCCTTCTGAGTGGCAGGGGCCATAGGTGAGATACAAACGTGTGGATTTATGGCACTGAGACAAATATAGCTTGGCTATCCTGACACATCTAGGTCACTGTGTTCTGGAAATGACCAGATTCCCATGATAATTATGACCTATCTGGGTCAGGTGAGATAGGAAAAAGAAAGATGATATCACAGAGGGGTGAACAGAAGACGCATAGCTAAAGATAATAACGGAAAACAAGTTTAATTTCTTCCATCTCATAGCACAGCTCAACCATGTGTGTGCCACAAGAATTCTGAAAACATATTACCTGACTACTTAGACAGGGACACTTAACTCTTTTTCCTTAGGAAAACAAAAGTGACAAGTGCCAACACAATAGCTGTCCAGTGTGAATGAATCAAAATTATACCTATTTTTTGTCACATCACAAAAAAAATAGTTTTTGGTGTGCCGCAGAATTTTAGTAATTAGTTTATGTGTGCTATGAGATGAAAATGGTTGAAAAATCGCTGGCATAGCAAATAAAAATGGGAGTTTAGGTTCAAGAGTTGCAACTTTTAAATGACTTTCCTAAAAAATAACCACTCTTGATAAACACCAGTCCAAGTTTATTATAAAATCATTTGTTTGAAGTTTTAAACTAGTCAAAGCATGAAAATTATGATTGGCACACTGATGCAAGCCACAAAACATACATATCCCTAGTTACTCTCCAACTCCACCCAACAAGTATGAAGAGCACAACATACATTTATTCACGTAAGACATTCATCTACTCTTAATAGATGTGTGAGTAAAAAGTTATTTCAGTAACAAGTTCAAGTCCAACATTATTTACTAGATGGCAAAATATTCTGACAACCAGATGAAGAAAGAAAATGTATATTTACATTCTATATATTTGACCTTAGTTTATTAATTTGAGCAATGATGACGATACAGGTGAATGTAGCAAGCAAGTTGTACAGAAAGTTCACTCTATGTATTAAGCAAGTGCTCTTACTTGGGTTTAAAATTAGACACACAACTAAAGCAGGTTTTTCTTTTTAAGTCTGAAAATGGGCAAACAAGACCATTTGTTATATAAATGTGTGTGTGTTGTGTTTGTGAACTTTTAAGTATCTTCCATTTCTGCAATACAGATAAGTAGAAGCAAATTTCTGCCTTTAGGGAAAAAAATTAAAGCATATTTCTATTACCTAGTTAAATCCACCAGTAAAAAGTCTGGTTCATGGCTAATTATGAGTCAGCATTATCTGGTTCTGAATTCATAATTATAAAAGCCCATTTTCTATTGGATTTTTTTTCTTTCTTTGGTCTTATTTTTTTAAGACTTCATTAATTTCAGGAAAAGGTTGGCATTTTCAAGTCATTTGCCCATAATAATATAATTCCTCAGAAATAAGATGACAAATAGTATAAGTTGCTTAGCTACTACTTTACTCAATGACAAGGGAAATCCAGTTACTCTGGTCTAAATATGAATTTTAAAACAGGGCTTGAAATGTCAAAATTGGTAAACTGGTTGAACATTATTTGTACTATTTATGTCTAGTAATAAGAACAAATGTGCTTCTACTTTGAACATTTATATGAAAGTTATTAGTGAATTCTCCACTCTATTATTCATGATACAATAAAATGTATTAACTACATGGAAATACGCATAATAGCAGGAATAACATTCGGAAGTCAGATATGCATATGGTTGTATTCATTTCCTTGGGTGAAAGCCTAAAACAATGTAAACGCATATTCTTTTACTAAACTTATTTCCAGTTTTTGGTGTCTATTTCCTGGATTTGGCATCATCATAAAACACTTTAGTTGTCTTGAACCTGTGCTCAAATAATATAGATAATTAATCCAGGATATGCACAGAGTGAGTTTCCTGTCACTTCCCAAACCTTGCATGCTCATATGGTCATGTCCTAGTATCTTCTCCATACGGGTACATAGTGGCCTGGGCATCACGGCAATAGAACAATGACTGTGCCATTCAATTAGGAGAAGGCTCCAGGAAAGAGGACTGGGACTCTGGATGAGTTTCTCCCTCACACCTCTCCCAGGTCATGATGCATGGAAGTGTTTGCTGCAGCCTCCTACCCAGCATAAGGAAGAAGGATGGAGCTTTGGTTCCCTAGCCTCAGTTCACAGGACACCCACACTCTTAAGCAGCTGTAAGAAATAGATATAGTCTCTGAACCATCTCAAAGTTCTTCTGGGCTTTACATACTCTTGAAACACAAAAGAACTTTTATATAATACTAGAGACCCGGTGCATGGGTTCATGCACTGGTGGAGGTCATGGTCTATGGGGATCAGCTGACTGAGGGAGCACCACTCATCCTGGTCAACTGAGTGGTGCTCCCACTGTGGGAGCGTACTGACCACCTGGGGGGCAAATCCTGGTGGTCATTCTGGTCGTTCCACCATTTGGTTGCTGAGCTTTTATATATATAGATAACAGCAATCATAAATTGCAATGGCTTTTTAAGAGCATATACACTGGATATATAAATATATATACATACACAAATATATGCATATATATCTCACAGTAAACATGTAATTATCAATTTAAATTAAAAATGTACAAAATCTTTGCAATTCCAGGCTTATTTTATACCAAGAATTCTTGTGATTTAATTAGGCAAGTATTTATTGAGCATATACTATGTGCTCTATAAATGAGAAAAAACTAAATTTGTATGATTAATTATTTACTGGTCTTAAATTGAGAATATATGTGTCAGTGTGTATATATATGTTTGCCTTTAAGTTCACTGAAAAAAAAAAATGCTTGCCTTTAAGTCTTCAGTAAACTATTTGCTTAATTTATTTTAACTTATTAATGAGAATTTTCCAAAATTCACAAAAGTAGACAATAACTTCCAATGTACATTACCAATCAAAAGCAAAAACCTGTGAATATAATTTGAGTCTAGTTGAACTGCACAAATTTCCTGGAGAATTTGAAATCAGTCTCACAGGAAACATTAATTTTAAAACATACCCCAGTTAATGAAAACAATGAATTCTTTTACAGTTCCGTTATAAAGCAGAACTACCTGCTTATGCTCTGATGGACCCAGGACATTTTGAATGATTACTAAAACTCCATGGGTTGAGTTATACAAACAAGTGAAAAAAAAGTCTAAAGTATTCATGAGAAATTTGGGGAAAGTTTAATACCCCTTGATCTCTTGGTTAACCATTATAATAATCTCCAAATGTCTGGCTTGTTGCCAGTCCTCCCTTTAACACTGGTAGCTCCGGCTTTAGAAGATTCTGTCTTACAGATTTAATGAAGCTGTTTTTAACAGAAATTTTTATGTCCTTTGGGGTGTGTGTGTGTGTGTGTGTGTACACATGGAAAGCAAAAACACATTACCTATAGATAGTCTTTGCATATTTACATATAGATTGTGTTTCTCAAAGAAATGACGACTCAAAGTAAAGTGCCTGTGCCAAGCTTCTTTGCACCTATCACTTAGTTGAAGTTCTGTTTGCATGATCAATGGCAGAGCTTCTCAGGAATTGTGATAATGCAAATCGCCTCCATATTTGCTAAGATAGAGCCTTTGTTTCTCTAAAAATTATTTCTTTGCACTAGAATTTTCAGAGGAAAGGGGGATTATTTGTAAACTAGGCAAATCTACAACTTTCCAAGAAACCACTCACCTTCATAATAACCAATGCAAGCAGTCACATTTGTGACAAATATGACAAAGATAGGCTCATTCTAACAGGTTCACAAGATCAGGCAAACTGACAGCCACACCTGGTGTCTATTGAGGTCATTATAATAAGCCACAATGATTCCCACGTGGCATGACCATACCTATATTGGCTGAGGCTACAGGATGAGGCCAGATCAAAATGTGAGAGCGCTTCATTTCATAAAGCCTAGTCTATAAGGAACAGCTACGGAGTAGGGACCCCAAATAGCCATTTCATGGTGGTGGTAGTTTTAAGATGCTCTTTGGCAAATAGGCCAAGTGAATGCTTTAGGACTCAACAGAGTCACTCATCCCAAAAGCAGAAAATAAAATTGTTTTCAACTTGCCTTCCATGGCATTATTTCATCATGTTTATCTGCAATTGGCAAAACAAGTGAAAAGGTGCAATTAAACAGTTAATTTCACAAATTTCAAACACTGAATCTGACCAAAGTGCCCCCCAAACTATTTGCTGAAGCCTGAATATTCCAGTTAGGCTTTAAATAGTTATCCAAATAATTAAAATATTGCCAAAACTTTTCTTAATTTTGTCCCATACCTATGCTGACTTGCTGTCCTATTAAACGAGGTGATTGCTGATTTACTTTTTCTGCAACTGGTGACTCAGAAATCGCAGCAACCTTTAAGGAATTTTTAATGGAGCTAAGTTCCCACATATGTAAGCTGATGACATGCACTCCACAGCAGCGGCGGGCAAGCTTGTAGAGATTCTTAAGGACTGCCTTCCGTAGAAGAATGTACACCCACGGATCTAAAATTTGATTCCACGTTGCCATTCGAAGAGCAAAGAGTGTTGTTTCACAGGTCTCCATGGAATGATTTCCATTTATTCCAATGTTGGCCATTGTCAGCTGCAAAACAAACAAGGGAAATCAGTTGATAGACATGTTCTCAGTCCTGCAGTTTTCTTGTGTTTATTTTTAAGTTAACCAGCTATGTTACATGCTTCCACAATGGGATGTTATTTTACAAAATACTGACAAAAAGAAATGAACAACAGCAGAAACATTGATGCATACATCTGAACCCTTTGAATTGAAATTGACATCAGAACTACAAAAATTACAATTTATATGGTAAGTCAAATGTACACAAATAGAAAGACCCTAGAGGGCAAACACTGATACTAGTAACTGGCGGTTCTGAGAATAGTAAGTTCAAAAGCCAACACACATTTGTATATTTCAAAGAAAAAAATTAAAATGTATTTGTATAAATAAAGTGTAATTAAGCAAAAGTATAGATAGGCTAAACATAGGAATTTTAAAAAATAAATTTAAAGTATTTGATATTAATTTGTACCTGGCCTATCATATTTTTCTGAAATGTTACTTTTAGAATTTTCTGTAGCTACAATGGTACCAATGTCTTCTATTTTGTTTTCCCTTTTCTACATCTCTCATAACCTTAACTTTGCTAAAACATTCCAAGGTATATTATGGAATTTTCTAAGGGCTTTGAGAAAATGAGTTCCCCTCTGTAACTACCACTCAGATTTTATGTAGATTTTGATCTTGTATCTATTTTCTGACTGCCCATAATGAAAAAGAGACCATTTTGTGGAATAAATTCCATAAACAGTCCCCACTATATGTTAGATCTGGTCTAATCACTGAGCCCAGCTTTGGCTTCTAATTAAACATCTGCAGCACAATCGCTGAAAAGAATTTGGCTATAAAAACAAATAAATGAACAAAAGGTGAAACTGAAAAACTAAGGGGGGCTTAGACTATTATACCACCAGGTTAAAGAGCGGATGTAACAAAACCTAAAGCCCAAATAAGAAGAAAAGTAAGTCTTCTTGGTCTTCTTAATGGACATCTATCAGAAGGAAACATCTTACTTGGGCCTGATGATACTAATGGTTGAAGGATAAATATCCCTTGTCAACACCATTATTTATACAACAAAGTACAAGCTACTCTTTAACTGGTTCCCTGATTATGCATCTGAAGTGCACCTCTACAATCCAATCTCCCTGCAAATATGCGAGGGTCAAAGAAATGCATGGAAAGAAACGTTTATGTTCATTGCCAACTGCAAAGAATGAAATAGATAACACTTGCAATAAAATCTACAGTCTTTTAGGCCATATACTACAATACAATATGTCAATGGTTAAGGTTGCAATATGAATGAATCTGTGAATCTGCCAGGCTACTTTACTCACAGATAACAGAGCTTATGTGCACTAAGGAATCCTTCTGGAAGTTATTCCATCATCCCTTCCCCCTACATCTGAATATCTTGTAGTCAGTATCAGGACTCCAGAGCCTTCTCACAATGAAAAGCAATGGTAAATCAAGAATTATGCTTCTGTCCATTTGCGTAGTCATAAAATCAAACCAATACAGCAGGGAGTCCTTTTTGAGTGTCTACTGTGTCCAGGTACCATGATGGATGCTAGTGATGCTGGAAGTAATATTTAAGAAATCTTATCTAACATATGATATATTTTGCTTATGTATCTAGTTCTCATTTCAGTCTCTCACACTAAAATATACTCTTGAAAGCATATTTTTGTCTGTTTCTCTGCAGCCCCAGTAATGTGCAGACAGTAGGGAAGTTGATATCTGTTGAACGAACAAAGGCCCTAGGAGGCAAAAGCAAAATTATGATGTTGTAAATAATAAAGGCATGTCAAGTATATCACAAGCAGGGCTATTTATTGGCACATGATCCCTATGTGGTTATTAAAAGGTGTGCTTTTTTGCAATTTTTCTAGTATATCAAAACATCAGTTATTCAGATTTGACTAATTTTTAATTTTTGGCAATTCTAACTGCAGGTTTTCTGAATTTCCCCTTAGCATTATTTTTATGGAAATTTAAATGAATATATAATCAAAACCATATCTGGTGGAATGTCCAACTTGTTTAGGAACAAAACCATTATTTAGGTTATTAACATATATTTTCACACAAACAATTTCTATGGCAATTATACATGGTCTCACCTAGTCAATGAAGCAGGTATTTTCACATGTAGTTATCTTATTCCAAGAGCCAGACCATTCCTTTCCTCCTTTCTGTCATCATAGAAGACTAATTCAGGGACTGTTATTTGGGGACTGAAAGAGCACCCTGAAGTATAATTCACTGATTTACAAGTGATTAGCCCCTTATAACATTGTCATCCAGAGACTGCTCTTTAGGTTTGGCACTTGAATAATCACAGAAATGGGGACTAATTGTGTGATTACATTACAGTCTTCCTGAATCATCAAAATGGTCAATTTGGAAGCTTTGCCAAAAGGCCATTCTATTACATCTCCATGTGAGAAGTTTAATCTTTGTGTTAATTGGATAACTACTGTCACAGCATCTCTGAGTATTAGCAAATGAGAAATGTCATTTTATTTTAACCTCAATGGCAATTTTGGAAAAGGCAGCTCAGACAAATCGCCAAATCCACCTGTGTTCAGCACATGACTCTTAGACTTAAACATATTTGTGCTAATTTAACTTAATCGTGTTTATTTTTGCAAAAGATTATTTCATCTCTGTTATAGTGACTACAAGAATCTTCAGAAAAAAAGAAAAAGAAAAAAAAAAACACATACTCTTGTGCAACTCCAGAATAATAGGTTTAGAAAAGAAAACAGGTAACAAACTGAAAATCAGAAGCTCTCATAGAATATATCTTTTCAATTATGAGCTTTATTCAGACTTAAATTATATTCATGGCTACATTGTTGAATATAGAAGGCAATAACATTTCAGTCATTTACCACTTATTGGATACTCATTAAAACTAATTATTTTGCACATGATGAATGATTCAGAGTTAAGACAGAAATATTACAATAGGGAGGAATAAAAGAACAAAGGGGTATGGTAATTCTTATTCCACAACTTTTTAACAGCTGGGAAATGTTGCCCACCCCAAACTATACCTCAGTGTTCCAAAATATAAACAGTTGTGCAAATAAACTTTTTCCAGCTGGATTTGTTGGTGGAGGCTTAACCAATAACCAAAATGACAACACACTCCTGACTCTGCCCAAAGACATTGAAAGTTGCAAAGAAACAAGAAAAGAGGACATGCAGTGAGTAAACTGCTCTCTTCAAAATAGGACATTCCCAAATCTAACACTTTATATTCCTCTTCACCCCTTCATGATAATGAGAAAATGGTGTATAAAATAAATAAATAAATAAACTGAACAATACATAGGGGGAAAAGATGTATAATACCTGAAAAAGAAAAGTTAATCTTTCTAGAGAAGGTTCATGCATAGGATCCATGTATTTTCATTTGCTATTCCAGTCCCTTCTCCCAGACCTGCACTATTTTTGAGTCTGTTTATTGGAAAGCCTTATGCCACAACTCCTTGGAATAACTGTCCATGGTTCTCTGCTGCTAATCCTTACAAAATGCTATTGCAATTTCTTTCTATGACACTTTTCAATGGAATAAAATATAGTCATTTATCCCAGAATACCAAAATAATAAATATTAAAAATAAATAAAATGTATATGTCATGTGGCATGTAGTGAGTTAAGGGGGAAACTCCTATAATAAGGAGGTAATATGCAAATTGACCCTCACACCCTTGCACAAGATGGCCACCCCCATGTGGTCAAAGATGGCCACAAGATGGCTAGCAGGGGAGGGCAATTGTGGGTGATCAGGCCAACAGAGGAGGGCAGTTAGAGGCAACCAGGCCAGCAGGGAAGGGCAGTTGGGGTCAAACAGGCCAACAGGGGAGGGCAGTTGTGAGCGACCAGGCAGGCAAGGATAGCAATTCAAGACAATCGTAGGGGGGAGAAGTTAAGGGAGACTAGGTTTACAGGATAGACATTTGGGGGGAACCAGGCCTGCAGGGGAGAGCAGTTGGGGGCAATAAGGTCAGCAGGGGAGGGCAGTTGTGGGCAATCAGGCTGGCAGGGGAGGGCAGTTGGGGTGATCAGGCTGGCAGGGGAGCAGTTAGGGGGCAATCAGGCTGGCAGGCAGAAGCAGTTAGGAGCAATCTGGCAGGCAGGCAGGTGAGCAGTTAGGAGCCAGCAGTCATGGATTGTCCCCAGAGGGGTCCCAGATGGGAAAGGGTGCAAGTTGGGTTGAGGGACACCCTCTCCCCCTATCTCCTGTGTACAAATTTTATGCACCAGGCCTCTAGTTATTTAATATATATGCTACTATCCACTTGATAACAGCCTACTGGCCTAACTCTGATCAAATTTACCCTCTTCCATGTATTGTAGTTTTCATCACTTCAGATACATGTCTTACCTTGACTTGCTTCCCTGAGCAAACCAGACTTCTGACCACAAAACTGGGAGATGATAAAGTGGGCACTACCTCACACTGCTAAGTCTGTGAGGATTTGTTACATGGCCATCGAAAACTAATACAGTACTTATGAGGGACTTAAATTAGGAAACCATAAAATTTATATACAAAAATCTACAACAATCATTACACTCAATGCAAAAAACATAGATGCTTTAAGATCTGATAGAGAAGGGTGCCCATTATTGCTACCACTGCTTGACATAGTTTCAAAATTCCTGGTTAATGCTATAAGGAAAAAATGAAGTATATGAGAATTTAAAGAAAAGAGACAAACTTTAGTTATCTGGAAGTGATTAGAATAAATATATACATAAAACCAATAAGAGAGTTCAGCAGTACATGACCAACATAGAAAACCAAAAACGCTTCTCTACACTAACATTATTAACTATAAACTATAATAAAAATACCAAAAGGAGAGCATAGAAATTATAAAGTACTTAGAATTTACTTAAGAAATAAACACCTTTAAAGACGCTTACAATTTTAACTTCTGTTCTCTATTTTTCAAACTTCATATTATGAACATATATTATTGTATTTTGCTAATGAAAA